ACATAAATTAAATTATAAAAAAATTAAATTAAAAAATTACAAAAAAATGAGAAATTTCAAATAGTTAATTTGATACTAATATCGATATATTTTTGTTAAATTTTTATGATATCTTCAAACATATATTTTATTCAAAAATAAAAACATCACCGCTTTCTCAAAATCACATAAAACCATATTATAACATTGACTGAGATAAATAATAAAATGAAATATTAAAATCATGATGTATCTCGCTGCATTGTGCGAGTACGCTTCTAGTCAGATAGGGATGAACGAGTTTAAGAGTTTTAAGAGTTTAAGAATTTTTAAGAGTTTTAGCCAAATGCATTATAATATAGTATAGATATATATATATATATATATATATATATATATATATATATATTTCAAAAAAACTCAAGAACATATTAATTCAAAACATATTATACAGTGCAATTTGGATAGCCTAACCCCAAAATATAATATATATATATATATATATAAATAAATACCTATAAAAGTATAAATCGTAAATATTAAAAATATTTTTTCATAGTATATATAATATATAATAATATAATTAAGTCAAAAGATATTCAATATTGAACTCATTTCAAATGTATTAACGAGACGATTATAATGGTGTAACTTGCTAAAATAAAAATGTATTTTTTAAAAATGTTTTAATTGATATACGATTATATATGTTAATTTGATAAAAGTTTAAAAGTAAAGGACGTAAAGAAAATTAATTAATTAATTATAGGGGTATAAAATGTAAATTTAAAATTATAATTTTAAAAAAAATAGTTGTGAGAGAGTGAGTGTATGTGAGGAGATGAGTGGGTGAAAAAGTGAGTATAAAGGGTATTTTTGTCATTTAGTATTTTAAGACTTTAAGACTTTTGCTAAATTTGCTTAATAAGATAGTATAGATTAGTAAATTTTTTGGCCATTAAAGTAACATCTTGGTAAAAAGAATAAGGGGCTGTTTAGCAGTTGGTGAATGGTTTGATGCATAATGATTAAGTAGTCGGAGTGATTAAAAAACTTTCATGATATAATGCAAAATTAAATATAATTGTTTGATAATTGTTTACAATGAAATTAGAGCGCTGAATGGTTAAGGGAGATCCATTACACAAAATTATTCAAAAAGTTTTAGAACTATTAAAATCAATTGAAACAAAAAAATAAATAAAATAAAACATTATCGCGTAACGCAACGAGATACATCTTGATTTTAATGTTACGTTTTATATTTTGGCTCTATCGATGTTATAATGCGATTTTATGTAGTTTTGAAAAAAAATAAAATGTTTTTATTTTTGAATGAAATATTATAATTTTTTTTAAAAATAAACGAAATTAGTATTAAATCAACTATGTAAAAGTTCTATTTTTTATGTAATTTTTTTAATTTATTTATTTTATTATAATTTAATTTAAGTTTAATAATAAATATTTTTTTTGGTTTAATATTATAAATTTTATAAAGATAATAATTAAGTATTCTGTTAAATTTAATGATTATCTTAATTATATTTTAGATTTTTTATATTTAAAATGAGATGTTTATCTTGTATTTGATTATGTTTATCTGCAGTTAGTTATATGAATTCAAATATAGAATTTTAATAAGTTGTACTTATGCACAATCTACTTGCAATCTTGAGTTTTAAGTAATATACATTAATAAACAGTACTTTACGGATAAAAAATGATTTTTACGGATAAAAAATGATTTTTAAAAGTTTTTATCAAATGCTTTATAATATAGTATAGATAACACGAGAGGCATTTTCCACTTGTCCTTCCCGCATTGGTTATTTGGAACTTTATAGTAACCGGCACGTCACTCTAATCATTTTTATACTTATTCTTCAAATCTTTTCTTCACCTCCAGAAAATGTTCAGATTGAACACAAAAAACCCTAAATAGTTCCAACTAAAATCGATTACTCCGATCACGATTCTAACCCTATTCATTATCATCACCATCATGTAAGCAATCATTTCTTTAGGCTTTATACCAACATTTTTTAATTCTGTAAATTCGCTTGCACAATTGAGAATTCACGGATTTTTCGCACACTGAATGTGCGTACACTGTTTCTGAAAGAATGTATCTTGATTTGATCGAGTTCGTTTCTTAGGTCAGAGGATGAAATTGCGATACAAGCAATAAAACATGCTTTGAAGGCTCTTCGAAAGCGGCATTTGTTGGAGGAGGGAGCTCATGGGCCTGCTTTTGTAGCTCTTTCTAAACCTATTGCATCTCAGGTTCCGCTTTCTGTACTCATAATATGGACCTAGAGCAATCTTGAATTTCTTGTACTCAGAACTTTATTGTATGCCTTTACACTTTTAGCTGTATTTGAGTTGTCAAGAACTGTTAGGCAGCTACTGTGGATTGCAGTTTGTATATTTAGTCGTACCATAGAATTTGTGGTTCTTCTATTAGAATCTTGTCTAGAATGTTATGGCTTTACAATTATTATGTTTATTTGGAAGGAAGTAAACAAGAAGATATTTAAAGGGATTATGCAAAGTTAAAGTGACGTTGTATGCCAAAAACATTCTTGTAGTGCCTTCGCATTATTTTTTTCCCATTTGCCATCTACTTAGTAAGGGGTAAGGCTGTGGGCTCGGACCAAATCCCCAGGGAGATGTATAGTGGTTGACAGGGCTCTTCAATGTCACACCAGTAGTCCAGTACTGCCAAGATTTCTGAAGAGTGGAGGCTTAGTGTGGTGCTGCTGCTATATTAGAAGAAAGGCAAAGCGCAAAGTTGTGGTAACTACACGGTATAAAATTACTTAGCCACACCATGAGATTATGAGAGCGAGTGATTGAGGCTAGTGTCGGCGCAAAACAGAGGTCATGGAGAACCAATTTGGTTTCATGCCAGACAATCATTGATTGAGGCAATACACCTCCTCAGACGCCTCATAGAAAAGTATAAAGAGCGTGGTAGGGACTTACACTTGGTGTTCATAGACCTGGAGAAGGCATATGATAGTGTATCATGAGATGTGATTTGGAGGAGTTTGGAGAAGAGGGGATACCATGGAGGTATGTTAGAGCGCTTCAGGATATACAGGGTGATTGTTTATGTTAGAGCGATTCAGGACCCTAGCGGGTGAAACAAAGTATTTCCCGGTGGAGATGGGGATACCCAAGGATCGACACTAAGTCTATTTTTTTGCTGTGATTTTAGAGGAGATTTCCTTAAGGATCCAGGGAAGTGTCCTATGATTATGTCTTCTGCGGACGACATTGTGTTGGTAGTGGAGTTGAAGGTAGAGGTGACCAGAGGTTGGAACAGTAGAGTGTATCGAGGAGGGGATGGAAGTCAACATGGGGGTAAAAGGTACTCTAGAAGGATAGTTTCGAGTATCTAGGCTCCATGATTAAGAGAAGGGGTGGTTAGGTCGAGGATGACATAACACATCACATAAAGACAGGGTGAGATATAATGGGCTCATATGGTTTTGTTTATTAAAAATTAATGAACGGTTAGCCCAGGTGATTGTCACCACTCTGTCTTAACGTTTCATAGTTTTCCATTCTGCTGCACATTAGTGGTTGACCTTATATTTGAAAATTATATAGAACCTTTATCTTTACACAACATATTACTTTTAATACTAACACAATGTAACTGATTTAATTTATATTTGCAACATGAAGGGTTCAGAATGGAAGGACAAGGCAGAAACTCTTGAGTTGGAACTTCAGCAATGTTATAAAGCTCAAGCTCGATTATCTGAGCAGCTTGTGGTTGAAGTTGCCGAGTCTAGAGCTGCAAAAGCTTTAGTTCAAGAGAAAGAAGCCTTAATTCCTAGTCTTGAGAACGATCTTTCTCAAGCAAGGTTCTCCTCCTTGCTTTCTGTGTGGTTTAACAGTGGAAGAAGCTTTAGTTCACAAAATTTTATGTTGATGACTAGTATGCTTATGTTGCAGGGATGAATGTTCGCGCTTGATAGCACTTTTAGATGAAAAGACTAAAGCCCTAGAATTGCTTATGGATGAAAATAAAGAGCTCAGATCCCAATATGAGGAGATGAGAGCTAGAGCTATCAATGCAGAGGCTGAAAACAAGACATTGGTTGATCGTTGGATGTTGCAGAAAATGCAGGATGCTGAGCGCCTTAACGAGGTATAGTCTACAACTCTACATTACTAGTATTAATGGCATTATGTTTGCTTATGGTTCTTGGATTTCTAGCATGTTGTGGTACAGCAAGCAATCCTTAATCCTTATCTGTGTGACGTTAATTCTTGTAATTTGTTTATTGTTCTTGTCTTGGATTTAAATGCAACCTCTCCATATGCTTCATTCATCGTAAAATTCAGGTTATATTTTATAGATTGACATACAATTAACACGTAGATTCTCAAGAAGGAATCCACACCCTCTCATTTTTTGTCCTCAATGTCATCATCAGAGATGGGACTAAAGAAGTGGAAAATAAATTTAGTTGGTGTCTATGCAGTTTTTATTTTATTTTATACTTTTGATGGGCCTATGAATTCTCTTTGAGAAAACAGAAGAGTCACCTTGATTTCCTTGATGACATAACTAATATCACATCACCACTATGAAATGTATGCTATCTATAATGGCCTTCCAATCAGGAAGTGGTTGTCAAGAGTCAAGCCATCTCCAGGTCATCCTCTCATATTGGCTATCATAGTAGCACTTCATTCTCTTGTTTATTCTATTTCCAGGGGGAGGTTAGATTTTATCATTTGCCAGCTATACTTGGTATTATATGTCTATCAGGTTTTATTTATCTATCTTTTTATCAGGCCAATGCTTTATATGAAGACATGCTTGGTAAGCTCAAAGCCAGTGGTCTGGAGCAACTTGCTCGGCAGCAAGTGGATGGTGTGGTCCGCCAAAGTGAAGAAGGTGCCGAGTACTACGTAGAATCAACAATACCGAAAACATGCAACCATAGGATCACGGCTCATGAGGGAGGTTGTGCCTCTATAGTTTTCGAAAACAGTTCCGGTAAATTGGTCAGTGGGGGGCAGGACCAGACTGTTAAAATGTGGGACACAACCACAGGTCAGCTAACTCGAACCTACAATGGTTGTTTGGGATCTATCCTTGATCTCAGCATCACCCATGATAACAGATGCGTAATTGCAGCAAGTAGCTCAAATAATCTATATGTATGGGATGCAAATTCAGGCCGAGTCCGCCATACTCTCACGGGACATGTAGATAAAGTATGTGCTGTAKATGTGAGCAGATTCTCGAGCCGCCATGTTGCCAGTTCAGCTTATGACCGAACCATCAAAGTATGGGATCTCAATAAAGGTTACTGTATTAACACAATCATTTTCCCAAGTAACTGCAATGCCCTATCTTTCAGCCCAGATGGGCAGACTATTTGTTCAGGTCATGTTGATGGGCACCTACGGTTATGGGATATACAGACAGGAAAACTACTCAGTGAGGTTGCTGCACATTCTTCTGCTGTGACCTCTATCTCTCTGTCCAGAAATGGTAATACAATACTTACAAGTGGGAGAGATAASTTGCATAATTTATTTGATACAAGGACSCTTGAAGTWTGGGGGACATTAAMAGCAAGTGGGAATAGAGTTGCATCTAATTGGAGTAGATCTTGTATCAGTGCCGATGACAATTATGTTGCTGCTGGATCTGTCAATGGTTCAGTCCATGTCTGGTCAATATCTAGTGCGAACATAGTGAGCACTCTCAAGGAACACACAGCTTCAGTATTATGTTGTTCTTGGAGTGGTCTTGGAAARCCTCTAGCTACATCAGATAAGAATGGAATCATTTGTATGTGGACATGATGGATACCATAGTTCAACCTCTTGTGACATGCTATCATGTAGGATTAATTGGTGTGTGCTGTGCTTGTCTATGCTGGTGATCAAATTAGTTTGTACAGATATGTTACTATCAATTCATTTCATGSATGTGTTGTGTGAACAAGTTGACTGCTGGAGTTGAATASTAGCTCCAGTCCCCTCATATTTYAGTAATTTCAAATTTGGGTTCCCCTATTTATTTTTATGTTCATGACTTTGACTCGATCCAAAGACTACTACAGTTTGAAACCAGGTTCTGGAATGGTTGGATCTTAAGTGCTAAGTTGTTGCCTCCAAATTCCATACTCATTTCATTCCAATTTCATGACCACAAACATACCCTGGACATCATATAATAGATGCTTCTACCRCTGAAWKTTTCATACAAGAAAATGCATCTTTTATATGTGATAGGTGAACTTTTACTTTAAGGGTCACATGTGTTAGCTTTCAGTTCGAAGTAGCTGCCATATCAAACTTCATTGCAGGTACTGGAAGTCGAAAGTTGTTAATCTTRTTACAAACTCACCTCAAATTTTATATTTGGATAGTACTAGTTTCAAAGTTGAAAATAAAGAATGGATTAACCTCTTTGCTTATACACCAAAGCTACATCTGAGGTGAGCTAGGAACAATATATGGAAGGCTAAGGCTGTTTACACAACCCTATTACATGATCATGCACCAGAGCTCCATACTTCAACTATGGAGTCACTAGTCTCTACTTATGGAAGCTTGCTGTTGAAGACTGAAAAGTGAATAGTATGCACCCTCTTCTCCTTTGGCTAGTAGATCATCATGAGAACCCTCTTCTATAACCCTGCCATTGTCGATCACTGATATTCTGTTTGATCTTTGAATTGTAGATAATCGATGAGCTACGATCACACAGGTCCTACCAACCATGGTATTTTCTAGAGCATCTTGGACAAGAGCCTCTGATTTGAGGTCCAATGCACTAGTTGCCTCATCCAGGAGTAAAATGGCTGGATTTTTCAGGATTGCTCGAGCAATGGCGATTCTTTGCTTCTGCCCACCTGACAATTGCACGCCTCTTTCACCACAGTAAGTATCATATCCATCTTTCATTGAACTGCTCATGAAAATGCTTAGAGTTAGCAATAATTTGGAAAGGTAGCCATGAATCTTTTTAAAAGACTTGAAACAATTCCATGTAAGCTATAGCTAAAGATAAATATAGAGATAGAGTGAGCTCTTCAAGATCAAACCTTATGAATTCATGGATGTTGGCAAGACTTGCTGCTTGAATTATCTCAGCTTCTGTTGCATTCTCTTTCCCATAGGCAATGTTTTCTTTTATTGTCTCTGCAAATAGGGTTGGCTCCTGGCTAACCCATGCAATACATGACCTTAATGCTCTCAGATCGTAGCAGCTGATATCTACTCCATCCACTTCCACAGATCCCTTAGACGGGTCATAAAATCGCTGGATCAACCCAATGATTGTTGATTTTCCTGATCCACTTGTTCCAACAAGTGCAACAACTTCTCCAGCATCGATCTTCAAGCTCAGAGCTTTAAGGGCCATCTTTGTTGGTCTGGCCAGGTAAAAGAAATCCACCTCTTTTAGTTGTATGTGCCCTTCTATCTTTAGTGGGTATACTACATGCTGTTTTAGAGTTCCCATATGGCTTTGCCTTTTTAAAATCATGAACAAGGATTTTAAAGCATTCTTTCCCAAGGTCAAGTCCCCAGTCATGCTCCCGGTTTCAGCAATTATCATACCTGCTGATACCACAATGTAGAATGTTTGGAATAGGTGTTTGTATGTGATATTGCCTTGGTAAAGAAGCTTTCCTCCGTACCAGTACAGGATGGCGATATTAATGTTAGTTAGAAATGGTCGAGCGAACAAACCCATCCCTGCATACCAGTGCTGCTTGTCGCTCTTCATCTTAGGACCTTTCTGTGTGTCCGCAAAGAGTCTCATAACCTGCTCTTGGGAGTGATACGCGCTAATGATTCTATGGTTATTAACAGCTTCACTTGCTATCTCACTGCTTTTGTTCTGTGGGTTTGTTGTTATTAGGGTTTTCATGTAGAAGCTGACAATGATGACTAGTTGCAATGATATAGCAACAAAAGCTAGTTTCCAAGACAATATCATACTCAAGATAACTGCTGAAACTGAGGCTGAGATTGCCTGGGCAAAGAATGCTAATCTATCTGCTACAAGGTTTCTTACCATGATTGTGTCTGTAGCAAGTCTTGAGCATAGGGCCCCAGTACTGTTATTTTCTTGATCAAACCACTCGATCTCAAAAGTCATCATCTTTGCAAAAATCACCTCTCTGACCCTTTTTGTCAGATTCTCACCCATAATTCCAAAATAGTAATGTTGAATCACACTGAAGATGAAAGCAAAGGCAGCAATGGCTAAGAAAGCATAGCATAATATTCTTGTTTGAGACCGAATTTCATCATGGTCACTGAGAAAGAACATAGACAGCATTGCACCCTGAAAGAAAGCGAGTATTGGTTGAATTAGTCCGTTAAGTAGAGCCCCGATGCAACCCATTAGAGCTGAATTCCGTTCAGGTGCATTCATCTGGATCAGGTGTCGCCACGACGGATGACTATCTTCTTCATCTATCTGTTGGTTGGTTGCTTCTTTGAGACCGAAACTAGTTACTATCAGTCCTGTGTTCTCTGTTGTCGTTGCTTCATCATCTATAGCTGGAGAGACTAATGTCTTACTATTGATTCCTTGAGACGGTGATAAAGTTTTTCCATCCACAACCAATGTCTTCTGTAGCTGCACCATGACCGAATATGGTCCACCAGTGTTTCGAATAAGTTGGTCATGTGACCCAGACTCTGTTACTTCCCCTGATTGAATCACAACAATTAAATCTGCATCACGAAGTGTAGACAAACGATGTGCGATGATAATTGTTGTTCTTCCTACTGATGCTTGAGTCAAAGCCTCCTGCACAGCCATCTCAGAATGTGAGTCCAATGAACTTGTGGCCTCATCCAGGAGCAAGATTTTTGGTTCTCTAAGCAGGGCCCTGGCAATAGAAATCCGTTGCTTCTGCCCTCCAGACATTTGAGTTCCTAATTGTCCCACCTGAAGAAAGTAGAGAAGAAGATTGTGATAATATGCTGAACCCCATTAGATTACTTTGCAAAAAGAGATATTGAGGAGAAATCCATGTGGGACGGGTTATTACAAACTCTCCCACTTAAGTTTCTGAGGTCCTCATTAGACTTCCTGGTATTCTCCTTGTTTATCCGCGATGTGATATCTGCCTATGATGTTACAAACACCCCCTGTAGGGACTCATCTTACTCAATGAGGTTTTCCCACCATTCTGATGGTACAAGGATCGGCTCTGTTACCATGTGATAATATGTGGAACCCATTAGATTACTCTCCAAAAAATCCATTGAGAAGAGAAGGGATGTTCCAACATATATTGAGGAGAAATGGTCCAAATCTAGCCGATGTGGACTCCAACAAAGATAAAGCAATATTGGGTGTTTCCAACAGTGACAGTAGTTGGTACTCACCAGTGTGTCATAACCCTTCGGTAGTTGTGTGATGAAGTCATGTGCATTGGCTCTTTTGGCTGCCTCTTCAATCTCTTCAATTGTAGCATCCTCTTTCCCAAACAGGATATTCTCTCGGATTGAGGTTGCGAAAAGTATAGGCTCCTGGCTCACTAACCCTAGTTGTCTACGTAGCCAATTCAACTGGAGTGACTTTATGCTGATGCCATCTAGCAGGACCGCTCCCTCGAGGGGATCATAGAATCTTTCAAGCAGATTTATCACTGTTGATTTACCAGAGCCACTGCGACCAACTAATCCAACAGTTTGGCAAGCCTTCACTTTCAGGTTGAATTTTCTCAGGACTAAGCTCTCTGGTCTTGATGGATATGCAAAATCGACGTCTTTGAACTCCAGTTCTCCTTTTACAGCGGATATAGTTGTGCCCTGTTGATCTGCAGAATCTATGGCTGGGATTCTGTCAATCATTTCACTAATGACAGCTGCTGAAATACTTGCTTCAGCAAAGTATTTAATGTTCATGAAAGAACTCCCAAGACCACTGCAAAATAGTAAGTGTTACTGACAATTGCTTTTCTCTATCTATAGTATTTCATATCAATATCAGAATTTTGATTTAGCTCAACATAATAGTTTGGATAGATTAGAGAACTTCATTCTTTTTTATGGTTCACGAGTCCGTAGTTAGATCACGAAAACAACTGCTCTACTCTTTGGGGTAAAGGACAAGTCTGTGTACATCCCATCCCCAGACCCTGCTTTTGAGTGGATAATACTGGGTTGCTTGGCTTTGGTTTGAGGCTGTAGTTAGGAGCCTTTTACCAACAGAAATTGGGTAAGCTCTAAGTAAGAAAGAATGCAGTCTGGGTAAGCGCTGACAGAAAATGATTGTTTACCAAGTGTCTGGGTAAGTACTGAGTGAAGCACTCACCGAGTCAGAAAGCAACCTCTTCCTTACCGGGTCAACATCTTGGATTCTTGGTCAACATATTTGTGTTCAGTGTGTTGGTAAACGCTTAACATCCCTTCTTAGCTGGTAATCACCTCTTCCACAGTAAGAGGTGGTCAACACTTGGTAAACTGCCCACATGTCACTATAGTGATATCTTCTGATCGTGATGGTTTCTTTATGCATACACCAATAGGATGAAAGATGAGAGTTTTTATACTTACAATCCTCCATAGACAACGCACACTCCGGCACTGAGAATATCTCCACCTTTGATCCCTTTATCAATGACCAAAATGCTCCCATACCAGCTTAGGAGTGCCCAAATAGCATATATGATTCCCATGCTGCCAAACACCATTCCCTTCAATAGACCTTGTTTGATCCCGAGGATCAGGGTTGGTCCTAATGCAGTTGAAAACCGCTTCACCATTTTTTCCTCTCCAACATACGAGTGAACTGTCTTTATTGATGATAAAGCCTGCTCTGCTATCCCTCCAGCAACCGCATATGCTTCTTGTAGCTTCTCTTCGTTGCTGGATAATTGCTTTCCATAAAATGATCCCGGAAGAATCAGCAAAAACATTACAGGGACCGCCACAATAGCCAATCTCCAACAGATGTACATGCCAGTTATTTCAGCTGCTATGAACATCCATATATTCGTGATGAAATTTGGAATCTGTCCCAATGTCATAAAATTCTATTAAGATAAAGATACGTGAAAAATCGAACCATCACTACAACAAAATCGGCCCTAACATCCTATTCTAAGACCTTTACATATGACACACAATTGTATGGTCCTATGAAATAGTCTATTAGAACATTTAGACATATTGTCCTAACAAGCTTCTTAGGACACTCCAATTCTAGATTATCCTATTAGTTATTTCATAGGACACTTTTGAGGAGTGTCTTATGAACACATCTTTTTATAGAACACTAAGACACTTGTTTTTGTAAGGCATTTTTTTAAAAAGTGTCATAAAAAGACTAATAGAACATTCTATTCCAAAATTGTTCAAAAAAACCTGTTAGAATGCCAAAAAACATAATGTTAAGTTATTGTAACACATTTAGATACGACACAATTGTTTGATCCTATAAACTTGAGTCATATGAAGCTGTCTATTAGGACATTCAGACATTTTTTACGTTCTTATAAAGCCGATTTTCTTGTAACGAAAGAAAAATCATGTTGACAATATCATGGGGAAATAGATCACCTTTTCGCTGAGGATTCCTTGTATATTTAGTGTATCAATTGAGATACTTGTTGTTACACGAGATGCTTCCAGTGTTGTGTCAAAGTACCCTACTTGTTGGCGTAAAATAGCTTTTAGATATTTGGTGCGTATACGAGTTGATTGCCTCTCTGCTGTGCGACCCCAACAGAATCCTTCTGTTCAAAGCCAATACATGATTTTCAGTGAGATTTCTTCCTAATCTTGTAGAAATAATAGCATAATCTTTTAGATATCTGGACTTGTTTTTGGTTACAAAAGTGTCATAGGTGCCTGGCTTTTGTGGTTTCACCATTGTTCGTTAGATCTTTCATTTGTCAAAATCGAGATCATGATATAAAAAGTTGCTGATTATGTGAATGAGGATGGTTATTGGGTAAGGCCTTGATCGGGATTCATTCTCCCTTTTTGTGCAAAAGGGTTTGTACCCGGCAACCCCCGAGCCAGCCTACACTTCCCCGCCCCACGAGCATCATGTGAGAGGCAAGTCAGGTACCCAGTTGGCTGCTAGGTGGTTGGCCTAAGAGCCCAGTGTCCACAAAGAGTGGGGTCCCCAAAGGAATTATAACTCCCACACTGTGGTTGCCAGACTTGAACCCTGAACCAACTGTGCTACACTCCCGCATGGGGGCGGGGTTCAGGCTGCCTTTTTTCGTTATGATCTAAAAGATATTTTCTTCACTCTGAAAACTGGGAGAATGTTTGATACCTCATAAAGAGCATCAACTTACCTAGAAAAGCACCTGAACCAACAACAATAGCAATATAGACGAAAGCAAGGGCATACTGCAAAACAGATAGACCTAGTTAGCTAATATCATTCTAGGGGAAAGTTCATTTAGGAACTGCAAAATATTTGGAGAACCGTGAGAACCAACTATTCATGAATCATTCATAATGAATATCATGCATTTTCATTATTCATGAACCTCTATTACAATATGCTATTCATCATGAACAATTCATGAATAGTTGGTTTTTAGAGATATTTATGGTTCTCGAATGACCCTGCCCTTTTCATTTTATGTCGTCTTTATTGTATGGTGTGAAACATGAGTATGACACACAATTGACAACCAACCTGATTTACATCTGCAGAGGTTAAAGAAGATACAGAAGCATAACCATTCATCAAGCGACTAAAAACCAACATCATTGCAGACACGCTTAACCCGTCTATGAAGCAGCCGCTCGTCCCCAGCGCCATCAGAACTACGTCCTTCCAGTCTGCGTGTTGGAATAACATCCATAACAATCCTGGTGGTGTCTTCTCATTTTCGCTACTGTCAGGTTCGCTAAATGATTTATTCATTTCTTTGTCAAGTTTTTCCATCTTTCGCTCTTCACTTGTCTACCAATGTGTTTGACTGCTATATATATAAACAAAAATAATGGGCAAATCCTAAACCTTGTTACATATATATGCTTTCATCGCTCATAGCTCATCACCCACGTTCATATATATATATATACACACACACATATATATTTAACAGCTTAACTCTATTGTCATGTGTTATAAAATGTTGAAGACAAAACCGTATGACCTGGATTAGATTTTGGAAAAATGCATCAAAATGCAACTGAGTTTGTATTTGTTAGATGATAATTTTTTCCTAGTTCGTGTAACAAAGTTTCAGGAGTTTCTATTTTGTATACTAACAAAATTGACTGATGACATTCTAAATCTTGTAATTTTTGAGGACGTGGATGCCAGGTTGTCAAGTTATCCTGTAAAATTTGAGTACGTGGAGTCAAATAAACTTATTTGGCATCTATGTAATCAGTTTTACAATATAACTTGACAACTTGACATAAACATTATCAAATGTTACAAGAGCCATAGGTTAGCGGTCAAATGTTTAGAAACTTTGTTCCATTGAATGAGAAAAAAACTATTTGTTACACTAAATAGGAATTAAAATTGTTGCATTTTGATGCATCTTGCTCTTACAAAAAAGCTCGGTTTAAGCTAGCAGACAAATGATTTTGCTATCTGTATAACTCACCAAAATCACCGATATTTGCATTTCCACGCAACATATCCACACTTTGGACAGACCAATATTGTCGATTATGAATTGGGATGTTTGGAAATCATCAATCTTTATTCTTTGGTACAACTAATTTCCAAAAGTTATTGATGCTTATTGTTTTAGGGATGCTTGCCGGCAGCTCCCTTTTGTTGCCCTTGTAATTAGATATATAGGGTTGGGTTTTGGTGAGAAAGAGAGTTAAGGTGAGAAGCGTAAGAAGGGATCTCCACCCTTGGATGCACATTAGGATGAGATGCACCGGATCGATCCCCGTATCAATCGCAATTCATGGTAGGTTTGGGATTAAAAGTGATCAAAGGTCTAGTTCCCTTCTTACCTTCTGACCTTAACTCTTCTTTTCACACGACCCTTCGTCTCTCTCTCTCTCTCTATATATATATATATATATATATACATATATTATATAAGCGAATGATCGTGTGAGAAAGAGAGTTAAAGTGAGAAGCGTAAGAAGGGGTCTGGACCCTTGATCACTTTTTATTTCAAACCCACCCATGACTCGCGCTTGATACTGGGATTGATTCGGTGCATCTCATACAAGAGTACGCTTGATCACTTTTAATCTCATGTTCCCCCATGAATTGTTCTTTAGAAGGGAATTGATATGGTACATCTCGGTGCACGTCATTAGGATTGATCCAAAGGTAAAGATCTCTTCTTATGCTTCTCACCATAGCTTCTTTTCTTACATGATACATATACATACATACATATATATATATATATATTATATATATATATATTTTATATATATATATATATATATATATATATATATATATATATATATATATATAAATTCACATTGCAGTTTGTAGTAGTATGCATCTCCAAGGGGAAAGATGCTATTTAGTCCGTATATGTTCACTCTTTGACACTTCCAAAGGTGACGGTTTTAGTACAAGGAGAATACTCCAAAAAAAGTATTTTTTTAATATAAATTTATTTATCTATTGTTTGATTATATTATATTATTTCTTGTCAAATTTTGTTCGGTTTACATGGGAAAGGTTCATTTGAGAAGTGGTAGAACTAAAGAAATGATCATAACTGTTCATCTGGTCAACATTTGTGGCTTTGACCGTGAAACACTAGACAGTTCCTCGCAATGGTATGCGAAAGATAGAGAGGTGGTTTCGTAACTTTAACAAAAAAATGGCAAATGGATTTATATGTGAACCTATGTGATAGAAATATGAACTATATGTTCATATGTGAATCCGTTAATTTAGTTCACATGTGAATAATCTAACAAATTCATGTATGAACCCACAAGTTCATATATGAATCAGTTAATTAGTTCATATATGAATCAGTTAATCAGTTCATATATAAATCACACATGTCCATATGTGAACCAGTTAAAATAGTTCATATGTGAATTACACGAGTTTACATATAAATATATAATTCATATGTGAATCACATAAGTTCATATATGAACCTGTTGTCGCCTATTTGTTAAAGTTATAAAACTGCCATCTCTATTTTTCGTATAGCCGTAATTTTCAACCAGTCAAAGCTGTAATTATTGACCAGTCAAATCCGATCTTGACTGTATAAAGAGCTATGATCACTTTTTTACTTCTCAAATATTTACTTCTCAAAATAACATTTGGCTATAAAGTATATTGCTCAAATATGGTTGGGTCGTTTTCTTTTTTTGGCTGAAAAATGGAATTGATATCGACTTAAAATGACCAAAACACGACTTCCTTTGTTCTTAAGTGTTCAGGTTTTTTCTTTCTTCTTTTAACTGTTATTCATGGAATTGATAACGACTTAAAAATCTAATCTCGTTGATTTTGTGATTATCCAAGAATAATCTCTTTTAAAGTTCAACCAACGAGTACCAAAACTTTAGGCTTCAAATCCAATTCACGGCAAAGTCAAACTATGGAAGAAAATTGAAAATTTCTGTATTCAGTGAATGATCCAGATTACACAAACAACAAGTAGATAAGGCAAAATGAAATGGGTTTGAAAAAGGCTATGGGTTGAACATAAAAGCCGAAACGAAAAATGTAAAAAAAGATCAAGTGTCTAAACATATGCTTAAACAACGTTTTATGTCCCAAAAATCCCATATCAAGGGTGTGTTCCTTGTTCTAAGCTTTGAATCAGTTTATTACTGATTTTAGTTTTATCAACCATTTTAGTGTAATAGTGATCTGTTTGAGATCGAGTAAGGTGTTACCCCTATCACCTTAGATCGCCATAAGACAGGGGTTCCGAGGGACAGAGCTCCTTGTCAGTGGTCCTGTTGACCGATCAGCGGGCGGAGTCTTGAAGCAACGTCGCAAACTTTATGATTTTTAGAAGAGTTAAACTTAGAGATTTTGTGTTTCGGGGATGGTTTGGACTAATTTCAAGACGTTGGAAAAGTCTTTGAATTGAGTCTTGAACTTTATGCAATTTCACTAAGTTGTAAACAGAGGTCTAGCCTTTTTGGTCAGAGTATTAAGTCATCGCTGAATATCTCTAAATGTAAATCTGAGTTAGAGTAATCAGAGATTTAGTCCATAGAATCATACTTTCTGACCTTTAGAAAATTGATCAACTATGAAATTCTAGACTTTGCATTCAAAGTTAAGCTCTTCGCAATCGAAGTTATACTTTGTACAATCAGAATTAGGGGCCCATTTACCAAACACTTACCTTGGTAAGTGCTTATCGGCAAAATTTAACACTATTATTTACTTACTGAGTAAGATTTTAGTCCATCAAAACGACGTCCTATGCAACAATTTACCCGATAAGTGCTTACCATGGTAAGAGTCGTCACTCTCACTTACCGGGTAAGACTCTTGGTCCTTGTCTCGCACTTACCGGGTAAGATTTTTAGTCCTTGTCATATTCATTCAGTGAGGTAATGTTACTTTGTAAGCGTTTATCCGGGTAAGCGTTTGGTAAACGGCCCATTAGACTTATTACAATCAGGGTTTAGATAATAGTTGTAACCGTTTTCTAATTTTATTCATTAACGGTTATAACCGCTCTTATATGCTATTTGTTTGTTTATTTGTTATACTTTTATTCATTTATTAATTTGTTTTCCTTAATTAAATTATATATTATTTTTAGTTTATTTCATATTATATATTAAAAAATTAAAAACCCTAATCGACATAGTACAATCTTCTCCTTTTTTCAGATTGTAGGGCTTCAAGCTTTGGCTTTTGCCAGTGAGTTAGGTTCATGATCAAAACCCCAATCCAAGAAAATTGTTAAATCTCGATTTCAGTTTCAACTGGTTTTCTAAAATCGATGCCGATCAAATATGTTCTCAAAAAGTCGTTAGTGAAAACCCCAAAAATTGTTGACTCGGAATTCATGGGAATGGGGGTTATCGAAGAAGATCACAGTGGAGTAGGTAAGGCAAAAGAAACTCGTATCCAGTGGAGAACTGGATTTGACAGGATATTAATTGTATCAAAAGAGAACACCTTCATTTTATGAAAACATGAGAAGAACCTTATTACATGTGATAATACATATGAGGGGACTTGGTGGTGTGCGGATGACGTGTCTTGCAACCTAGGTCATGCCAAAGGTCATTTGCTTCTTTGATTTAATATCACATGTGATGGATTATAGTATCTTATCAAGAACATTGTTACCGCGTGTGATAATATACGTGAAGGGTCCTAGAGGTGTACAAGGGACTTGGCTTGCAACCTAGGATGCGTCAAAGGTCATCCGCATCTTTGCTTAGTATAACATGTGTATCATAAAATATAGTAGAAGAGTATTTTTATGTTCTCATAAAATGAAAGTATTCTCTTTTGAACATTTCCCCATATATATATATAGGGGAGCGATCAAATGCAAACCACTNATATATATATATATATATATATATATATATATATATATATATATGAGAGATCAATTGCAAACCACCCTCATTTGTAAAAACCTTACAAACCAATCTCATCTATCCATTTTCTTGATTAATGGTCAAGATTAAATGAGTTTATATTATAAATAAAAAAAATAAAAAAAATAGAAGTTTAATTTTTAATTGAAAAAATGGCAAATCTGTAAAATCCCAAATATTAGAAGGTAATAAATACTGTTAATTTTGGAAACGTAATAATGGAAACGTTTCATATAGAAGGAGGTAAATCATTTCTTCTTAATATAAATATTTTACCATTAATATGTTTTATTATTTTTTACCATTATATTTTATAAACAAATGAATTTTAAAAGTAGTAGAATATGAAGTATGTGTTCCGTTTCACTGAAAAAATATATGTACTTTGAGTAATGAAATTAATTTCATGTTCAATAATGACCAACAAACAGTTTCACAATATTTCGGAACGTTTTATGCATGAAAAAGTTCATTAAATAAAAAATATTCAGTTTTCAAGATGTTTCATTAAATTTGTAAAAATGTTTCATTCTTTATATGTTTCACCGTTCAACACTACATGACAATCAGTTTTTCTTTAATGACAGTCACGTGAGTTCAATATATAAACGGCGAAACAGTTTTGTTCATTGATTTAATGATACAAAATATTTTCTTTAATATTCAAAATGTTTCATTATTTTTAGTTGATTATATATGCTTTATATTTCATAATTTATTAAGATACACCTAACTCATTGTAGGTGACAAGGAGTCACATGAGTTAGGTAGATGAAACGGTGAAACAGTTTCATCGTGAAATTTAATGGTACAAAAAATTTGCTTTAGTATTAAAAAAATAGATGGATGAGAATGATTTGTAGGGTTTGTACAAAAGGGAACGGTTTGTATTTAATCGCTCATCTCTCTCTCTCTCTCTCTATATATATATATATATATAGAGAGAGAGAGAAAAGAACGATCAAATAAAAACCGCTTCTATAGGTTGAGTTCCAAAAGGGAACCTAGGAGCCCATCTTGAATTTGTCAATTATGTTATAGTCGGAGTCCAGCTCATCAAAGTAAGAATGAAAGTTATATTGAGAAGTGCAAGAAAAAATCTCCTACCAGATCAATCATGATTAAATCAACAGTGATGAGAAGTACTGAGATGCCCTGAATCAATTAAAGATCAACAGTTATAGACAATGTTATATGTATATCTTTTATGTCAGAACCAAGTCAAATCATGTACTATAATATAAAAATCAACTATTTTTTTTAAATCGAGTTTACGTAAATATATACATAAATTCTGAATAAAATAAAAATTCAATTAAAAAAATAAAATTTAATAAAAAAAATTGTCAGGTTCTTTGAAGCATATTTTGAAGCCAATTTTTACCCTTTCTAATTATTATTTTCTTAATACTTGTCACTTTATTTGTTTTTCTTTTTAATATATACCCATAATAAATTAATTCAACCCTTTTTAAAAATAAATTTAAATTTTACTATTTATTATACTCCTTTAAACCACAACATGCATCATCTCCACCAGCTACGTAYAAAATTAAAATAGAGATTTTGAAGATACGATCTGAGTTTAAATATAATCTGTAATCTTATCCAAATGCAAACATTATTTTACTGATCATGATAATGACATGGTTTAGACAACACATAATCCAACCGAATGCAATAAATTATGAAAAGCATCGTTAATATTATATATATGTATATACCTACTGATCAACTTGACCACTTGATCTCGTCGCCCCCTCCCCCTCCCTCACTTTTCATATTTATATGTTACACTTAATTTTGGTTTTTTATTTTCGTCTTAGAATATGGCTTAATTTACACTAAAATTAAAACTAACAATACATAAATTATTTAATAAAAAAGAGATGTAAATATTTATCAGTGTCACTCTTATACTTGATGATGTATATATACCATTTGTAACGGATATTCTAAATAAGACGCAATTTCCGCATCTAGAAATGCATGATATGGTAAATCACAAACATATATACCCATGGCCTTATAAAAAATACATATGTAATGTATTTATATGTGAATATATTCATATTCATTTGTAAATATATATGCATATTCACATTTAAATATACTCAAGTTTCTTAATGTAATGTATATATACTCATATATGTTTATTTACATTTAATGATCCATGCATGCATCCCATCCACTTAATAATTCGGCTCAGTTCTTGAATTACCCATTCAAATTAACCCCCAAAAAAGGAGCATCAATCAACAAAACAGTGACACCTAATYCAGCTTATATCGGATCTTTTGTACATGGCTGGATGATAACATTCTTTCCCCCCGACTTTACCTCTCCACCACTCAATCTGCAAGTGTCATTGGTCAGTTGTTGTGTATAAAGCAAGCAATCACAGGTTCCAACTTCAATCATCCATCTCTTGCAACACAACAACAACAASAAGTAATCAAGATCGCAATGGAAACGACGAGGTTGGTTTTGTTTTCACTTGTTTTGGTTTTGGCTTTAGGGTTTGTAAGCGCAGGSAGCTTTGAATACACTGAGGACGATCTGGCGTCGGATGAGGCCAAGTGGGCCTTGTACGAGAGGTGGAGGRATCACCACAAGGTGCCGGAGCAAAGCGATGATGAGAAACAGAAACGGTTCATCATCTTCATGGACACCGTGAAACGTGTGGACAACCATAACAAGGCCAAGAAGCCATACCTTATGGAGCTGAACAAGCTGKCTGATTTGACWWSMGAMGAGATTGTACGCACGTATACCGGCGCCAAGCTAGATGAGCACCACCGGATGCTTTCATCAAGGGGCAATTCCAGCCGTCTCAAGTATGCTGATCGCCACGATTTACCAGCCGAGGTCGATTGGAGACAATTCAACAACGTAGTTGTTGCTCCCAAGAATCAAGCCCAATGTGGAAGTTGCTGGGCGTTTGCAGCGATGGGTGCACTCGAATCAGCACACGGTCTCAAAACCGGTAACCTAATCTCATTGTCGGAACAACAAATTATCGACTGTGACACTGAAAAGAACGGTGGATGTAACGGAGGGGTACCTGCGTATGCATTGAATTACGTGGCCAAGCATGGAGGTATGACGACATCGGAATGCTACCCTTACAACGATCCTGCAGGACAAACTGTTTGCTGCGGTGCAAAGGTACGTACCTACTGACAACCTTAATCAATCAAATCCAACTCTTATATATATCATTCATTTTCTTTCCGAATTGCAGCTCCAAAATAGAGTCGTACATTGTCAAGGTTTTGAAGATATTCCCATTGATGACGAGCCAGCTATGATGGAAAGAGTTGCAGAACAACCTGTATCGGCTTGCTTATTCGTCTACGAAGGTTTCTATGGATACAAAGAGGTATATATATAAATTTCCTTTACAAGGTTTCTTTATTTCATCATATGATTATTAATAGGATAGGATATGATATCGAACTGCAGGGAATTTACACCGGCGATGACTGCGTAGGGGAACAGAACCCACATGCGATTAATATTGTGGGATACGGAACAACACCTGAAGGATGCAAGTACTGGATAATCAAGAACTCATGGGGAGAAGACTGGGGAGAGAAAGGATACATGAGACTGGCACGAGAAGTCGGGAATCCAAGGGGAGCCTGCAGCATCACCATGCAGACTTGTTTCCCGGTCCTTTAATTACATCGATCATCAACCATGCGATGGGGTTTATTTTAGGGTAGTCGTGAATAATCAGACTCAGCAACTGCATGCATATATATGCTTCTTAATTTGCAATCGTTGCTGGATACTTGATTTTCATAAACTGCTAAAACATTGCAGGATCATATATAGCCAATCTCCAACAGATGTAATGCCGATTATTCTCAWGACGAGATTTGGAATTTGTACGATGCAATGTCATAAAAATAAATAAAGATTTGTTACTAGTTCMAATTTTCCCTGTTAATTAATTTTGAATGTTATCTGCATTGCATTCAGCTAATTAACCGGTAAATTAGTAATTAAATTGTTATTCGGTTGCTTAAAAATAGCCCGGAAAAGAAAAGATTATTAGAGGAAGAATTAAACGAGAATGATATCTATTTAAACGAATACGAGAATAATTATGGGTCAATCATTTCATTAGATAATATCTTAAATAAAACTTTCTTAAAAATCATCCAAATGACATATATGTCATTTGTTATATACAGATTAAGTAGTCAATAACTACAGCTTTGACTTGTTAAAAATTGCGGCTATGCAAAAAATAGAGAAAGTAGTTTCATAATTTTTACAAATAGATGACAAATAGATTCATATATAAATATATGTGATTCACATATGAACTATATGTTCATATATAAATCCGTGTAATTCACATACAAACTATTTTAACTGAGTCATATGAACCCTTGTGATTCACATATAAAAAATGCTTCAAAAATCCGAATTTGAATTTGGTCATTTGATTATCGGTACACAGATTTCATAACACAAAAAACTCTCTGTTCGGGAAAACTACGGAATTTTATCCCATTGAAATTTCGATTGTACCATCGAAATACTTCAATCTGAAAGTAATACATGACTTTCAATGGAATCCAAGCAATCGAAAACCAGAATTTCTAACAACCTCCTCGGCGGTAGGCTACAAATCTCTTTCACATATTGTGGTGAGAAAAGCTGACGAAGTCTCTCGCTGTTCCATTCAAAGATTTTTGAAATGAAAAGATTACTTGCTCGTAAGTCTTGAAGGCCCTCATTGATAGGAGTTTCTAGTCTCATATTACTCGCATCTCATCGCTAAGGGTCTTTCCAGAAAAGCTAGGGGTGTTTGAGATTGCTTATAAAAATAACTTATTGATTTATTTCGGTGTGACATCGGTAATAAACACTTTTGAATGATTGGATAAACAACTTATACCGGTAATAAAGAGTTTTTGAAGAAATCAAACAATTCTAACTTACAATAAATTGATCAAGACTTTTATAGAAAAACATAAGTTGTTTCAAATAAGCAATCCCAAACACCCCCTAATACACGACGACTTTTTCAGAATTTTAAAAAGACACAAAAGCTAGCTTATTCCCAAATCCCAGAGGCAACCTTCTCCCCTTGTTCACACACTCACACAAACGCCGACTAGAAAGGCTCGAGTCTACTCTGGCGGTCACTCAATCGCCTTCTCAATCTCTCTTTCAGTTTTTGTCTCAAAACCTAATTAACTCATTTGAATTTTTACCCTAAATTGATTAGTTTTATATAAATTTATAATGTTATACAATTATCAATCTTGTTTACATGGTTTGATACATTTATTTACATTATTTAGTTGTTTGCCCTAAATTTGATATATATTAGTCATTTTCCCTAAATTTGATTTTAGTTTTTTCCCTATATTAATTAGTTATACTCTTACCCTAATATACAATTATATTCACATGATTTCATTGATTTATTTACACGATTTATTTGTTTGTTGAGTTTCTAGATTAGTCTTTACGAAAAAGCCAAAAAATAATCTCGAAATCAACCAAAAAAGTTCCTTAAATTTAAAAAAATCCGTTGAAATCAACCGAAAAACTTAAAAAGTCTTCCGGATGTGAAATTCGGCTAAAAACACATCGAGCGGTTTTGCAAGCATTTGATTCAATTTAAAGATTCAGCCACTCGGCAAAAATCCTGGGTCCATCGCTGTGTTCGAAACTCCCAATATACATCTTTATTTTCAGAAGATTTTTTGTATGTATGTTTTAAAAAGTTTTTCGTTGATATCTCCGATGTCATACAACAAATTGGCTTTAAGCAACCGTAAAATGGGCTTAAAATGGAAGCTTTAAGTCCCCCTTTTATTGCCTGCATATCGTGAACCAAAAGCTTTGCAAAACATCCCACAAAAACCATCACCTTTCCCCCATTTACAGCCTAACAACATGCATTACATGCCCACGTTCACATCATCCTTACAATACCTGCAGTATTGTCGATTCAGTGTTGTTCATGGCCTTAAGTCACCTCTCGTTCACTCGATCTCTGATTATATGATCTCACTTGCAATCTTTGATGAACCCAATAATTTTCTCTACATCCAAACTCCCAGATCTTTAACCGTCTTTGAAGGAAGAAATATTCCAAGAAAACCAGCAAGAAATGGAAATCAAGTTCGTTTTACTTTCACTTACTTTGGTTTTGGTTTTGTTTTTTGGCCTTGTGCAGAGCTTTGATTACCATGAGGAAGAACTTGAAACGGAGGAGAGTCTGTGGGAATTGTATGAGCGGTGGAGGAGCCACCACCGCATGGCGGCTGCAAGCCGTCAGGAGAAACATAGGCGGTTCAATGTGTTCAAGTCCAACCTGCAACATGTTCACAACACAAACAGGATGAACAAGCCATACAAGTTGAAATTGAACCGGTTTGCTGACATGACTAACCATGAGTTTACGAGCGCCTATGCTGGCTCCAAGGTTAGCCATCACCGGATGCTCCATGGAGACCGCATCAGCAACAAGGGTTTCATGTATGCGAACCACGATAATGTCCCTGCCTCTATTGATTGGAGAAAGGAAAACGCTGTAACCCCTGTCAAGGATCAAGGCCACTGTGGTAATAACACCTTTTCTTTAATTAAGGTTTCCCATTAGTTGAACTACTCAAGTACTCCAACACCCTCTCCCTCTTTGGCCTTGTCTGGTCACTTGTTATGAGACACTTTTGCCTCCACAATTACTATCGTCGGTTATCCTTTTCTAATATAATGCAGTTACGCAGGAAGTTGTTGGGCGTTCTCAACGGTGGTTGCCGTCGAGGGTCTAAACCAGATCAAAACCAAGAAACTAGTATCACTCTCGGAACAAGAACTTGTCGACTGTGACACTGGCAAAAACGAAGGATGTGATGGAGGGCTAATGGACCTCGCATTCGATTTCATCAAGAAAAATGGAGGTCTAACTACAGAAGACAACTACCCTTACACAGCTGCAGCAGGAAGTTGCAAAACTGTAAAGGTACCACCTTCTGGTTCTTCCCGATATCGCCATGGATCAGCTCAAACTTTCTTTCTAAAGACCCTCGATTCTTCACAAGATCGATAGTAAAGCAGCAGAGTGTATCTATTTACAGAATGGTGTTAATTTGTATGAATTGCAGGAGGGCGTTCCAACGGTATCAATCGATGGACATGAAGATGTGCCTGTTAACGATGAGGATGCTCTAATGAAAGCAGTTGCAAACCAGCCTGTATCTGTTGCTATTGATGCTGGAGGTTCTGATTTCCAGTTCTATTCACAGGTAAACCAAAACTACATAAATATATCATAGAAAACCACATCAGATGCATCAGATTCAGGTTCTCAATAATTTCCAAGCCATATATACTACTTGAGACTTTGGTAGCAAACAGACGATCATTTTCAAGAAAATGAGCGATTTAGATTCTTTCAAACCCTTTATTTTTTTGAGTTTTATATGAAAAACTAAGTTCAATGATTCAAAATGTCGTTCATCAGGGAGTTTTTACTGGAAAGTGTGGAACGCAATTAAACCATGGGGTAGCAGTGGTCGGATACGATATGAGTGACGACGGAACCAAGTACTGGATCGTAAAGAACTCGTGGGGAGCCGATTGGGGAGAGAATGGCTACATACGAATGCAACGAGGAGTTCCTGAGAAGACGGGGCTCTGTGGCATAGCAATGGAGGCTTCTTACCCTATCAAGAACTCTGATACAAACCCTAAAGCATCATTCATCAGGGATGAACTTTAGAATCAATTAAGTGAATAATCCAACTCGATGCATCGATTATCAATTTATGCAATTCGATGGTGTTTGTATGGATTATGATGATCGATAATATGCAGATGGGTTGTCTTTGAATTTGGTTTACATCTTCAAATTGTAAGACTGTTACGGAAGTAACTCGGTACAAGCTTGCTATGAACAGGATAAGAATGGCTGTTGCATGGGAGCCATGGGCTATGGAGATAGAAAACTACAACAAAATCAGTTTATACGACATAAAAAGACTTTATAAAACTCAACTTTATAGATCAAAGTGTTCTATCTATAAATGTATTCTAATAAGTTTATATGATGTTATTGGACACCTTAAAAAGTTTTTTAGGACACTTTTGAAACAAAATGTCATATTATATAACTTTTTTATATGACACTGTTTAAAAAAGAGTCTTATAAAACAAGTGTCATATAAATGCTGCGTTTGGTACATGAGACGTGATAGGACAGGACGGGACAAAACTCATTGTCCCATATTTGGCGCAGCATGGGACAGAACAAGAATTCACTGTCCCACGTTGGGGCGACATGAGACAGGGACAAGAACTGGAACAAGGTGGGACAGCATGAGACAAAAGAGGTTTTTTCTTGTTCAACCAAAATAGGTGGAACAAGATGGGACAAGAATGAGACATAAACTAAAATATTTTTAATCTACCATAGTTTGATATATAACCTTAATATGGTATTTATTTTAATGGTCATCACCGCTAGTTTCGGCCGCCGCCACCACTACCGGCGGTTACTGGCGGCCACCTCCACCTCCACCTCATCTTCCACTACAACATCTTCCACCGCCTACACAACCACCGTCCACCAAGTCCTTTGCCACCTCTACCATAGTCGACCACCTACCACCACCGTCCATTGCCACCACCACTACCGCCGTTCACTACCTTCAACTCCTGATCTACTGCAACAACCTCCTCCACGACCACCATCAGCCACCACCATTCATATACAAGAAGCGTACTCGCTCAATGCAGCGAGATACATCGTGATTTTAATATTTCATTTTATTCTTTATCCCAATCGATGTTATAATATGGCTTTATGTGATTTTGAGAAAACGATGATGTTTTTATTTTTGAATAAAATATATGTTTGAAGATATCATAAAAATTTGACAAAAATATATCGACATTAGTATCA